GCCGTCAGCGCGGCCAAAGCTGAAGCTCGTGCAAGTGTTACGCGACCTGGCACGCCTTCTCGATTGCAAGACACACCCCGATCAGAGACACCACGACCCGATTCAAGATTCGGCGACCGATCTAGCACCCCCAGCCTCGTGCTCGAGAAGGATGAACGGGAGGAATTCCTGCGGCGAGAGAATGAGCTCCAGGATCAAATCGCCGAGAGAGAATCCCACATTGCGAATGTGGAGAGGAGCTTGCGCGAAGCTCGCGAGGAACTCAAGAACCTCAAGGAGAACTCAACACGCTCTGGCAAGGACAATGAGAAACTCAGCACTGAGGTCAACGAGCTTCGGATGCAGCTGGAGAAGGTTTCCTACGAGGGCAAGGAAGCCTCGATTACAATGGACAGCCTCCGGGAAGCTAATGCTGAGCTGACCGCGGAGCTGGACGATGTCAAGCAGCAACTCCTGGACGTGCGAATGAAGGCTAAGGAGACCAGTGCGGCACTCGATGAGAAGGAGAAGAAGAAGGCGGAGAAGATGGCGAAGATGATGGCTGGTTTCGACCTGGGAGGCGACGTTTTCTCAGACAACGAGCGAAAACTCCAGGATCTTATACAGCGGGTGGATGCATTGCACAAGATCAGCGAGGCTGGCGAGCCAATTGCCCCTGACGACCTCCTGGAGTTACGGACCAGCCTGGTCGAGACTCAAGGATTCATTCGGCAGGCTGAGCTTACCATGAATGATCGGGGTGAATTGAGCGAGCTGCAGGACAGCCACAGAGTGGAGTTGGAGCAGAAGCTGGCTGATCTCGAGCGGGACTATGAGAGCCTTCTGGAGCGCAACCTGGGCGAAGCCGATGCCGAAGAGATCCGCGAGCGGTTGGAAAAGATTTACGTGACCCGCAAGGAGACCGAGATGCAGGCAGCGGCTGAACTCCGCAGCGAGATTGCACGCAAGGACGAGGAGCTGGCCAAGCTGCGGCAGTCCCTTGCAGATTCCCAGTCTAAGGCGTCCACTAATGGCGCCACCGGCAAGAACCTGCAGCAGCAGATCGCCGAGTTCGATGCGATGAAGAAGTCCCTGATGCGCGACCTGCAGAACCGTTGCGAGCGGGTGGTGGAGCTTGAGATCTCGCTGGACGACGCTCGAGAACAATATAACAACGTGCTGCGCTCCTCTAACAACCGTGCCCAGCAGAAGAAGATGGCTTTCTTGGAACGCAACCTGGAGCAACTGACTCATGTACAGCGGCAGCTGGTGGAACAGAACAGCAGCCTGAAGAAGGAGGTTGCCATTGCGGAGAGGAAGCTGATTGCCAGAAACGAACGGATTGCGAGTCTTGAAGGTCTCCTGCAAGAGAGCCAAGAGAAACTTACTCAGGCGAATCATCGGTAAGTCTTCCCCTACGGAATTGCTCGGCCGTGGGCAAGATACGGTTGGCTAATGTCATATTCTCCCCTACAGGTTTGAGGCTCAACTCACTGCTGTTAAAGAGAGACTGGAGGCTGCGAAGCAGGGTTCGACTAGGGGTCTTCCGTCTATGGATGGCAGCGGTGGTTTCAGTTTTGGCGGCTCGAGAATCGCGAAGCCGCTCCGAGGCGGTGGTGGTGGAGGGCCCGAGAGCAGTGCTCCGGTCGCAGGAGTCCAGTCGCAGGAGAGCGGAAAGCGCACGAGCTGGTTTTTCGATCGACGATGATCCACGATTTCTCTTTTGCTGTTTGTTCTACCCTTCCTCCGAACATATCTGATTGTCTTTTTCCTTTTTCGTTTTGTGCAACCAATCCAGCAGCCTTTGTTGAGAAGCCGTTCTTATCATCTTCTTGGTGTCTAGATATCCTGCCACTTGTTCTGCTCTCCTATCTCTGTGATTTGGCCGATGACGAAGTCTGTTCCGTCTCGTCCTTGCATCGCTGGTTACACCTAGATTCCGAGCCGCCGGCGAGCCTATGCGAGAGGCCTCCGGTTCTCCTGATACCCTTGTATACCAGACCGATAGAATACATCTCGGGAGAGGGAAGGGACGGTTTGAAGATGAATACATAGTAAGTAGAAGAATTTCACCGGATGTCAATAGAAGATATGGTCACAGTAGACGTCATTACTGCGCGAGGAGTCAATTCCGCGTATCACAATCGCGATGTGTCTCAGACTTATATAAGTTTAGTATCTAAGCTGAAGTTTATACCAATATGGAACGCAACAAATGCCATGTCATGTATGATATATATAAACAGAAAGGTGAATGAACAAAATGGGTATCAATAAGATCAAACTTGCCAAACTTGCAAGACGAAGACGAAACGACGGTGTCTATTCCACTAGAGTGACTCTCACGCCGTCCATGCCCATGGTCGTCACAAGCCGATCCATCATGTCCGATGTTGGCGGCTCACGGGTCTGAGGGGAGATCAAAGACCGTACGACCAGAGCCGGCTTGCGCGACTTGCCAGGCGATTTGGGCGGTGTAAGGGGCGATTCGTACTCTTCGCTTTGCGGTTCGGAGACACGATCAGGCATTCCATCAGACAGGGTGCGGTTTTCCGACTCGATAGCCGCGCGCTGTTTCTCATCCATAGAGAGAATTAAGTTGTTGAGGATGACTAGCGCGGAGCGAATGCCCCGGACATAGAGGCCGGAGTAGCCATCTAAGAAAACGTAGGGGAGCGGGCCGACGAACCGCTGCTGCTCGTTCTGCCCGGCTCGAACCATCGATACGGCGACGCCGAACTCGGTGTGGATGCCGCGCAGTGCGGCCCGCGCGGCCTGAACATCCCGCAGCAGGGCAGATTGTAGCGGAGCTCTCCTTTTCGGTGGCAGGGCGAGCACCTCCCGGACCCGTTTCACGTACCCGGGGACCTTGGAGATCTCGATGAAACCGCGTTCCGCGACGTCGATGTAAGCGGACGAGTCGGGTAGTCGCGCGTTGTCGGCGGCAATCTGCCTGTTCAGGTCCTGCCATTCCGGTTCCTGGAGAAGACATTCCTCGCCTGACAGCAGAGCAGCTGTCACCATCAGGTTCCGGTAGACGATGTACATGGCCCGCCCGAATCCGTGGAGGTGGGCCTGCGGACCGCGCAGTCGCATGATCGTCTTGATCCCCGCAGCATGTCGCAGCCACGCGTCGGGGTTTGTGCAGTTTTGTACCTCGAAGCAGGCCAAGCTAATTGCGGTGGCCAGCGCCTCATCGGATGTGGCTTTCGAGACGTTCGATAGCATAGCTGCTAGGCCACGGAGAGACCGTGTGTACATCGCCCTTGCGGCATCCGTGTACAGCGCGTCGTTGTGCAGAGCGCCAATGTATGCGGTGGTGCAGGCGCGGAGTGCCCAGTCGAAGGGTGTGTTCATCGATCCGCGCCGGCTGTGGACATAGTCAACCCAAGTTACCGGGGTGCGGTTCACGGTACATCTGAAGTAGCAGGGGAACGCAGTGAGCACGTAGTTGGTGAAGACTTCGGTCTGCTGGGAGGAGGCGGCCACTGCGGTCAATGAGCGCGATGCGAGCTCGTCGATCGGAGGATAAGAGTTCGTTTCCTTCGCATTGGAGACACGAGAGATGGCGTTGGTGAGGCCCTTGGGTTTGTTGCGAGGGTGGAGCGACGACGAGGACGAGGATGTCAACCAGTGCCGTCTCTGCAAGGCTGGCAGTTCATCGTGAAACTCCAGCGTGGTCGCATGACCGGTACAAAGGAGATTGAGGTCTCTGCAGCGCGAGCACGGTGATTGACCGGCGCACTGGAGCGGGATTAGAACAAATTCAAGCCAGTGACCTTAAAAGTAGCTTCCAGAAGATGAGGATCATCGAGTATTGCATGAACCTGGACAACTCAACATGGGAGTAGCAGCGCCCGATCAAGCTGTGAACAGCAAGGGTCATGGGGGAGACATGATAGGCAGAAGTGTACAAGAATGCACAAGAACACACATAATAATCAAAGTCATAAGGCAGTGGTTGGAATTGAGCCTAAGCTGACAAGGACGGACTAACCTGGGCTCGAGCATCGATACAGTTATGACAGGCATGTGGCACCGTGGCCATGCTCGTCACCAGGACATCAAACGAATTTCCGCAGGCTTCGTATTCGGAACACTCGGCATTGAGGAGCTGCTCTGCGCGAATGCTTGATTGTCGGTCTTGGGAGGGTCGTACGGGGGGTGCCAGTGTGCCAGTGTGGTCCAAAATGTCCAACACTCTAAGGAGGAACAGGAAGAAACAGGCTAGAGCGCCTTTTAGGAGCGGTGGAGACGGCCATAAATGAGACACGAGTGGTCAACTCGCAGCCAAGCGACTTCGCCGGAAGAGGTTACTAAAATGAGACGATCAAGGCAAACAAACTCGCAAATGCATTGCTCAAGGCCACTATTTGAGTCGGAATTATTGTTGCAATCATAAAACTAAAACTTAGGATGAATCGGCTGTATACGGAGTACGGAGTACACTCGATTGTCTCCGCTTCAAGAGCATGTAGTGCACTAATTCTAGGCTCACACGCTAAAAGCACAAACGACATCCACAGCAATAAATATAAGTGTCAAAACACAGTGGAGAGGCCAACGAAGACTCCAGTGGCCTCTGCTAAAATCCTGTACATGAAACGAAGAATTCTCACATGAAATCTGCCCTTGTTTCGGGGAAGATGCATGATCCAACCACAGAAAGGAAGATGTAGAAAGCAAACCGAAAGAAGAGAGGTACAACCACCGTGATTTGTCTTTTTGTTGTTTTTTCATGTACAGCAGAGCAGAAGCAAGGAAGAAAGAAAAAGTTACAAGAAAGCTGAAGTCTTGTCTACCGAGCCCTTATAAAGAGTACGTGGGCAGGCGCAAGTAAATGATCACGGGCTGTGGGAATCCTAAAAGATATAAGCAACAAATACCAGAAGACCGAGAAGATAAAAAGTAGATGGAGTGAGACATGGTCAATGAGGAGAACCTCGAATTTGCGCCGCATTCGCCAAAGGTAAGAGGATGCACGACACAAGGTGCTGGAGGGACACGTCGTCCGCACGCGCTTATACCAGTCCATCGTAGAGGGACAAGGCGCTGACAATGGTCTCGTCGCGTTTGCTGCCCTCCTTGAATTCCTCCATATCCAGGCTACCATTCTCATCCTTGTCCATCATGCGGAAGATCTTCTTGACCCGTTTCTCTGGTGTGTCTTCGTCCTCGGGCAACTTGACCATGGAGCCGACCTGTACTCGCTCGTTAGCTGGAGTCTGTCCGCGAGAGAGCCAGTCACTGGGAGACCGCACCATTTTGTAAATCGCCTCAACAATAGCCAGCATCTCGTCGTAGGTGATCTTTCCATCACCATCGATGTCGTATAATTGGAATGCCCAGTCCAGCTTGTCCTCCATCTTACCCCGCGAGGTCACTGACAACGCACAGATAAACTCCTTGAAATCGATCATGCCGCTATTATCCGAGTCGAACACTCGAAATACATAATTTGCAAACGAGGAAGGATCGCCAAATGGAAAGAATTGTTGGTAGATCTTCTGGAATTCCTCCTTTGTCAGGGTCCCTGAGGGGCAGTCCTTCAAGAAACCTACCCCGCCATGCCACAGTCAGCGTACTTGAATCTCCTCCGGCTTGGGATCGCCGCTGCTCACTCTTCACACACCTTTATACCATTGTTGCAACTCTTTTTTATCGAAATGCGTTGCCCTCTGGAGCTCTTCGAGCTGGGAGGGGGAGAGTTTCGACTGTCTATGTGGCCAGTTGTCGTTAGCTTATATCCCTAAGCGGAGAGGTTTCCCCAGCTATGAGGAAAATCAAGCAGAAACATTAATGTAGGTCCATCGAGCCGACAGGCCCTGGTTTCTAAAACCATATAGTCTTCGACTCCCCGTGGGGAAAAACAAAGTCCGTAGCTGGCGGGTTGTAACCCCGTTTCACCACTCCCCTGATGCGCGGAACGACAAACAAGCGCAGTACTCACGATTTACCCATGATCAATCAGACTTCCCACACACAGTCAAGATATACAAAGTAGCTCTTGGCCTTTACTCGGGCAAGCAAGGTTCAGCGCTCGAAAATCTTATGCGATGGCGGTAAAAGACGGAATCACGGAAGACGCGGGGTAAAACGAGGTTCGCTTTGATAAGATCGTGTGCTGCTTGGCCGAGAGAGGGTGAGAGCTGAGTACAGACAACTGACAGAGAGGCTGATAACGGATGATATAGGAACAAAAACCTTGTGCAGTAAACTTGAAAGTTAAATGGTTAGGGTTCCAGTTGGAGAAACAGACTGTCGTAGTGTCGTAACTGGTCGTAAGTCTTTCCGATCATTGTGATGGAGTCAGTCAAGCCGTCAAGCCGGGCAGTCCATCGGTCCAGAACAGGTCGTCGGCTTGGCGCGCAGATGACCTCCACTAGGTATGCATCATGGATTATTCAAGCAGGATATTTTTATCATCGGAAGATATCTATTATTCTAGTTCTGATTCTCGAACTCGGGTCTTGATGGTTTTCCTATCGACTGTACCTCCTGATTGGATTGACGTTCTATTAATAACATCATGTTGCGGAGAATGAATCCCCTCCAAGCTTAGACCCTGTGCGGCTTGAACAGTCTATAAGATATATCTACATTTTTCGTTATCGTACATCGCCTGCTCATCTCGAGTCAAATCAATAATCGCATCAACGCCCCTTCGTCGTTCCTCCGCCATTGCCTCGGTGAATAAGTAGCTTAAAGCTGACCCAAAGATATGTACAAAGTGCCGGGGATCGCTCGTTCGAAGACCGAGAACAAATGCAAGTCGGGCTGATTGATCAATAGGAAGCGCGAATTACTTCGAATAACATAATAACGTCCAAAGTTTAGTCGACCTTGATCGAGCCGTAGATGCGTTGTACAAACGCCCAGCTGGCGAAGAACCCAATGGAACCTGTGCAGAATAAATTAGAGACCACCTCACAGTCATCCAGGCTGGTTCATGGACCAAAAACATACCCGTTAAGATGAAGACCAGGAAACCAATCAAGGCAGAGTAGCCCACATAGAGGACTGCCCCTGTGAGTCCACCGAAGCTCACTCGAGTGATCCAGAAAATAAAGGCATTGATGAAAACATAGAAGCCCGTCATTCCGGCTCCAGCGAAAGCCCTCCAATGCCACCGGTAGTTTTCAGCGCACAACAAAAAGTAAACCAACAGGACCGTGGTCGCCGCAGTGGTCATGATCATTAGTCCATAACAGAGGAAGAGGAATCCGAACATGTAGTAAATCTTGTTCGTCCACAAGGAAGTCATGATGAAGTACAGCTCCACAAAGATAGCGCCAAACGGCAAGATGCCCGTAAGTAGCAAAGAGGGAATTGTCCGAAGGCTTCCAGTCATTGGAGGAACTTGCCTCGGAATTTGGTTGGTCTTCGTTGCACCTTCGATTGCCTGAAAATGCGGTCAGCAGATGCTCGTTAGAGGCCAAGGAAGGACATACTTGTTGCTTGAAACCAAGCCAGCTGCCTGCCACACTCAATGGCACACTGATGACGAACCAAATGAGGACCAGGGCAAGCATCGTCGTGAAAGGTACGGCTCCACTAGAACCCTTGGCCCAGACAAACAGGTTCAGCAAGAAAAAGGTACCAAAGATAAGTCCAGGAATCAAAACTGGAGTCAGGATGATGTTGCGCTTCCAAGCCTCGCCGCCGAATGACTTGTATACGCGAGTCGAGACATAGCCTCCAACGAAGCCAAAAAGGGTGTAAATGAGGAGGATGGCAGTGGCCAAGAAACCGCGGTTGGATGGCGAAAGCAGACCGAAAAGTGCAAAGACTTTGACAGAATCAGCATTCCCTCCGCACAACGAGAACATCAGGTAAACCTACCAACTGTCACACCAGTCATCATGAAAAGTTGAGCCCCGTTGCCGACAAGCACACTCAGGAGCAAAGGAGACTTGGGGCATCGGAATACATCGCCATGAACCAGCTTCCAGCCAGAATCCTCTTGGATTCCGTCCTCAAGGGCAGCTGACGTGCCATCCAAATCTTCGAGATTGATCGTGTCCAGGCGGTTGTAACGAGCGATGTCTTTCTTGAGAGCCCTCAGAAGGATCATACTCACCATACCGACCAAGAAAACCACAAATACGGCAGAGTTGATGAGTGAAAACCAATGGATCTTTGGATCGTAAACGTGCAAGTACTTATCCCATCGAGTAGCCCAAGGAGTGGGCGATTCCCGCCAGTACACGCCATACGTCCAAGTGACTGGAGTCTCGCCATCTTCGCTCAGAATCACACCGGCGTCGTCGGAGCCGCACTCCACTGTTCCATCTTCAAGGACTCTGGAATCACGCCGGGACGCCGGCTGAACGAGCACACCAACAACCCGGTACTTGTCCTTGCTCCCGAATCCTACACGGTGATAGTCAATGACGATATCATAGTGACTATTCAGCATTGCCTGCCCATCATCATTCAGAGTGCCGAGCGCAAAACCGGGACTGTAGAACTTGGACTGGGTCACTGCGTCCAGGTTCAACTGAGCACCAGGTAGCCCGTCCACCAACCAGTTGATATTATAGCCCTGAGCTATCCTTCTGTTGACAAATTTGGCGCTTCGCGAGTCAAACTTGACTTCTCCACAAACAGCCTTGCACGATTCATTCTTGCCCATGAACAACTCAAACGGCGATGTCTGTATACGATCACCGAAAAGAATGCTACCTAATGACTCGCGAACATCTTTCGGCCCATCTTTCGGACGGCAAAAGTGGAATGCAGTATGATAGTAGTCGTAGGCGAAGACGGAATGCAGCTGCTCATCTTGTTGAGCTAGTCCTGGGGTAAGATGGTTGACGTAGAGCGGCACAGCTTGGCCTTCATCGTACGAAGTCGGTGCTACACCAGGAAGGTAAAAGGCGGCGGATAATGAAGGAGCTGTCAGGAGAAGAGTAGATATCGTTAACCGTTTGTCGAGCCGCATATTGGGTGTTTCCGGAGGAAAAAGGGGACAATCAGCTCAGGTGTGTCGGTCTAGAATAAACGGGTGAAGCCTAAAGCGGATAAAGATGGCTCATAGAGAGGTAAAGTACTCAGATTGAACCATAGATCGAACAACTTGCGCACGGTGACAACGAGCCTGCTCAGAAGATCATGTATGGGAGAGTGGGCAATAGATGGGGCCAACAGGCTGAAAAGATTACAATTCTCAGGGAAGTTGGAAGAATAACAAGCAGTGGTTACGGGGCTTTGTTACTTGGACTTTCCGCAGGGCCAGCTAATCCGCGGTCTTGGCACACGTGATAGCTGTCAGATTCCCAAACAACCGGCTAATCATCACGTGCCGATAAGATTTTGGTGATCGAAAAATTTCCCTCAAGATCGTTTACCGCACTCTAAAGAAGACCCAGGTTATATAACCATCCACTTTACAATGGCGACAGCGGCGGCTCAAACGGAGCCTTCGGGCCTAGAGAATATTTCTACGTTACTGGATAACCTCACCAGCTGTTTGTCGAGCGCCGGATCGTCCCTTCCGAAATCAAAACGAGAATCGCCAACCGACGTCTCCATCGAACCTCCCCACGATGGCATATCGCTCCTTGACACCAAAAGTGACCTGTTACTATCTTATCTACAGAACCTTGTTTTCCTTGTCATTTTTCAGTTGAGAGAGGTAGCCTCTTCGGAGTCGAAGGCAGATGAGAGCAACGATGTCGATATTGGAAACACGTCACTGCGCGAAGAAATCGTCAAAAAACTTACCGAGCTCCGGGTGTATTTGGACCGAGGTGTTCGGCCTCTGGAGGGTCGACTGAAGTACCAGGTTGACAAAGTCATCAAGGCTGCAGAGGACGCTGACAGAGCCGAGCGCGGTGCCCAGACCACGACAAAGAGCAAGCCAAAGAATGCGAAATCCGGTAGCAACAAAGAATCCGCCTCAAAAGAGAGCTCCGGCGACAGTGAGAGCGATAGTGAAGGAGAAGACGAAGAGGAGGAGGGCATTGATGAGATGGCTTACCGTCCGAATATTTCTGCCTTCGCGAAGGGAATAAAGTCGGAGGCTCAGACAGAACAGAAGTCTGACAAGAACGTGTCAGGGGACGGAATCTATCGGCCTCCGAGAATCATGCCAACTGCACTTCCCACAACCGAACGCAAAGAGCAGCGGGACCGCCGTCCACGCAGATCAAATGTCATTGACGAGTTTGTCAGCGCTGAAATGTCGGCCGCCCCCATGGCAGAGCCCAGCATCGGTAGCACGATTGTCCAAGGAGGAAGACATTCGAAGACCAGAAAGGAAAGAGAGCGCGAGGCCGAACGTGCTACATATGAAGAAACAAACTTCGTGCGATTGGCCAAGGAGAGCAAGAAGGAGAGAGCCAAGCGACGCGGTCAGGGCAAGGAGAGCACTTTTGGTGGTGAAGAATGGAGAGGTCTTACCGAGGGTGCAGACCGGATCGCAAAGCTCACGCGTAGTGCCAAAGGAAGCGGCAGCGCGCTGGAGAAGAGTCGGAAGCGAAAACTTAATGACGATGGACCACGCAGTGATGGCGTGGCAGTGGGTCAGATCTTTGAAAAGCGTCGGAAGAAGGTTGAGAGCTGGAAACGGGCTTAGATGTACATATTTCGGCATTATGGATATGGTTCTGGAGTTTTTTTTATATGTGAGGCGACTGGCATTTCACCGATATCATCAAAAGTTGATCGATTATATATTTTGCCGCCTGGGCGAATTCTAATCAGAGCATCTTTTAAGAATACGTCAAGCTCTTTTCCAGCACTAATCATTGGTCAAAGCCATTTAATGGTCTTTACACATGATTATGTAGATGAGGTCTGGCAATGATAAACACATGCTGAAATGTCACCATGTCCAAATTGCATTTTCACATGCGTCGGAAAGCGGATGACATCATCGCCATTTCGGCCTCAGGAACAGGGCCAAGTTAATCTATCAGAAGCCCATCCACCATTCACTTTATCCTCAGTTGTGTTCAACTTCAAGGGGCAACATCATACTTCGAAGGAAGAAATTAGGAAGATGGAAAACCCAGGTTAGCGCCCAAATCCTACAACAGTGGCCAATTCTGATCTAATGTGACAATGCAGTGTCAGAGATATCGACTGTTATCAAGCTGCTGATAGAGTCACCACCATCAGTTCAGCAGGAGACGATAGAGAAATACTTTACACCATCAGCAGCCTTTGTACATCCATTCTGCCGGGTTCCGTGTTATGATGGCAGCCGTTGGACCATCATCAAGATCTTCCAATGGTACAAGATCATGTCGCCTCGAATTGAGCACCAGATTCATTCAATAGGCAAGTGCTCATAGCTCAGTCACTGATCTTCCCGGGCGCTAACGGTCTACAGCCTATGATGAAAGCCATCTCACTCTCTATATTACCCTATCACAGATATTTTCAATATGGGTGGTCCCATTCCACGTCTCTCCAGTCAAACTCACCACGGTCATCAACCTCACCACGGATTCTGGAGTCCAGAAGCCCTCTATGGTGAACGGCGATCATACCCTCTACTACATCGCCAAGCAAGAAGATCTGTACCAAGTCTCGGAATGGATCAAGTTTGTGGTTCCCCATGTCGGGCATCTCTTTGTTCTTGCTTTTCAATCCTTTGCGACTCTCTTCTGTATACTTGGTGTTGCCATCTTCTATCCTATCATGTGGCTGGAGGAGAGACGGGTTATTCCCTACAAGATGTTGCGCAAGGGAAACCTTGTGTACAATATTGAGAGAAAGATACCAGAGATTAAGAAAGAATGAGGTGCAGCTCTCAGAGGAGGCCATCAAGTTTGGCTGGAGTGTTGTGTTGGCATTGTTTGGTTATCACCTCCTTGAGATCTCTCCTGTGTTTCCACCTGTGAGCATCAATATTATTCAGAAAGTCAGCTTGTCGTCAAGATTACCTTCTCACTACCTGATATGCTTTATAAATACGTCGAGGAACTAGAGTTTCCTTTTCCTCCCAAACTTGCATATATCTGCCTTCTGCAGACTTATGGACACCTCTCAATTCTATCTGAGTCCGAGAGGCGTTTCAGTAAATCTGAGTCCCTTTTGGCTAAGGCAAAAGTCCTACTGAATGCAAGTCCTTACATGTGCTCAGATAGGGCAGAAATTTCCTTGTAGGACAAGGGTGTTGATAACCATGTTATTCGAAATACGAATTGCTATAAATCCAGTAAGGAAGAAGTTTGGTAGAAAGAAATAGTCACTTCACATGCCACGGGACGAAGGGTAATCGACCGCGGACACCGTGGATTATAGCTAGGACAATATGGGCTGTTTTGAGTTACCTTAAAACAAATGTTGGAGCTGATAATCACGGCTCGTCGGTCATGAGACTAGTTAGCCTTCAATCAATATTGCGAAGGTATTTACATCTTTTGAGGTTCCATGGCTCTGCTTCGATCCTTGATTTATCTCGTAAGCTTGTTGGGATTAAAATGAAAAGGAAATATTGACATAGAAAACGTGACTGCAATTCTTGATAAGTCTGTCTAACGTATATATCAAACAGAATTTGGGATAAGAATAAAGAAAGAGAAGTCATATCTATCGTGACGGAACATCTTCCGGGGCAACGTCCAGTTCAAGAGCTATGCTTTGCTGGATGTTGCCATCGAAACCCACAGAGAATTCTAATGCTGCTTCCTCAACTGTTCTCGGAATGATTCTTCTTGCCTGACTACCTCCAGAGGAAGCGTGCGGCCAATGCCAAAGAGCACGAACGGCGCCCACTTCCAGCGGAACGGGTTGACGAGTATTACGAAGATGTACCAATAGATCAATTCGGCGTAAGTGAAGAAGTCAAAAGCGCCTGTCGGAGCCAGCCGTTTCATCAACCGCGTAAAGTCGATCCAAGTCTTCATCCGACCTTCCGTCGGCCGCGATAGAGGATCAACCAGGAACATCAGCAGGAAGCGCGTGTAGATACCAATGTGCATGTTTCCCACAGTGCCGATGGCATTGATGTAGGTGCTGTTGTTGGCACAGATGCTCGGATACTTTGGAGGGAAAACCTGAAGATACCAGCTTGGTGGGCCATATGGGTCTTCGAAACAATCGTTCGGCAGGAAGTTTAGCGATGGACGCTTGAAGCCCGTTGCCATGATGATCACATCTCCGGGAACAACCGATTCGTGTCCGGGACCATCCTTGGGGACTCCCCGTGAGCGATGATTAAACATCACACCGTCCTCCGTAAGAGAGACAATGTCTCCGCGTAGCCAGCGTGCTTTACCCTGGCGGATTTGGTCAAAGAGCTCCGAGTTGGCCATGGGAGTTTCGGTGTAGAGACCGCTCGACGGAGCAATGTCCTGGAGATCGCGATAGAAGAACTTGTGTAGCAACCACTCCGGAATCCATGACAAGAATGTCTCCTGCCCAAAGACGTTGCAGGCTAGCAGCGACTGCACGAATACGTTGCGCGGGATAATCCACTTATCGGACCGTGACAGAACGTCAATCTCGCTCGCCTTGGACTTGACGGCAAATTCCAGCGCTTCAATGGCACTGGCGCCACCGCCAATGATGAGCACCTTCTTGCCCTCGACATCTTTCCCATCGAGCTCAGAAGAATGGAAAATCTTGCCTTTGAAGCGGCCTTGATCCGGAAGAGGCGGCATCTTTGGATCGCCGCAAACGCCAACAGATGCGATCACGCCGTCGAAGCGCCCATACTCTTCCTCATTGTCATTAATGATCCATTTTCCGTCTTTTGTCTGTTTGACGGACGTAACTGGGGTGTCGAAAACGGTGCGCTTCTGGAGGCCGTAGCGTTTCCACAAATCAATGATCTGCTCGCGAATTTCATGTTGCGAGGGATAGGCGGTAGTGTATTTCACCGACGGATGGAATCGGTACATTATACTATGAACCTGCAGGGAAGAGGTAGAGTTGACGCGCTAAATGCGATTGCATTAGTATATTTCGAATCAAGTCCATGGCAAGAACAACGTACACTCCAGATTCCTCCGAGGCCTTTATCTTTGGGACGGGCTTCAAATAATTGCACATCGAATCCATGGCCAATGCAGTGCGCCGCAGACGATACGCCAGTCAAGCCGGCACCAATGACAGCCACTCTTTTCTTAGGAAGACCATTGGCAGTTGATGCTGGAGGCGGAGGCGCAGGAGAGAAAACAAAGGTGAGGATACGCTGGAACAGCATATAGAATAGACTGAATACCATGAAGAAAGGTTGTGTGAGAAAGTCCACAACTGTGGACTTGGATTTTGATTGAGCCATGGGAGATGAACACTCAGTTGACCCCTAGGAGGAATATTGCGACCTTGTCTGTATGACGGACAAATGATAGCAAAGGTCAATACCTAATTGCCCAGTTGAACGATGGCAAGGGGAACCTCAGATAAGAGAAAGTATCAAAAGTGGAGGTAATGTTGAAAGAATTGTTTACAAGAAGGAAAATAAGCAGGGAATCAGGCTTCTTTTCAACTGTACCTGAGATAGGTCCTGCCCTGGCCTGCCCTGAAGGTGGTGATGGTGTGGTCCAAGCATGACGTAGATGGGTGGACCACATTCATGTGAAAGTGGACGTGGGAAAGAAATGTTTGCTGCTTCCCTGTGATTGTCCTCGTCCTACGAGGCCGGCATCATCATTTCGCAAGATATTGCATGGGTGCGTTATTTTTACCAAGTTTGACAGCATTTCGAAGATACTCACCCGAGGTAGGCAAACAATGAACGTCTATCTCACTGCACAGAGCGGACGACTCGCCATTATACGAGTTCCCAATTCACCAGACCACCATATCATCATAGCACCTAAGCAGCCAGCTCAATGACCCAAAGCTCGTTTCTTACTACAGAAATGCACGTCCTGAGGTGATATTCTGGAAATCTGGCAAGCAATAGGACTTTGGTGAGCCTCGCTTCGAAAGAGCAGGCATCAAACCCCTATATTTCATAATTATGCCCAGGGAGACACATGTGATTTAAACGGTTGTGTCTATGGTCGAAACCCCAATGCTCTGTGGGTTATAAATCATTCTGTAAGGTAGCAAGCCTCGTAGCGCCATATGCTTGATGATAAGGTGGTTGTTTTGTATCTCTGGATCCAGCGCCAACGCTGGAGGTGATTGGTAGGCATATTTAGTTTAAGCTTCCCCCAAGGCATTCCCAGATCGGATCGAAAGTGTAAACATCGTAGCCAAAAAAAAGTGCCTCTCCAAACACTAACAGACGAAATACTCGTTTGCATTCTCTGCCACCTGTCAATTGCCGCTGATGTGGCTTCCCTTTGGCTTCAGTGTCGACGGCTGTATCAACTGTGTGACATGTTCTAACCCGACGCAAATACCTCCGGGTGAAGCTACGAGAGACCTTGCATGTCGGAGTAGTCTTCAAGATGTTGTGCTCGATTCTGAAACGCCCAGACTCGGCTCCTACGTTCGCTATCTTAAGCTGAATCGATTACCATCCTTGTAATAGGGATATACGTAGTCCTATGAACCAAAACCACTTCAGAATGCAAGAATTGTTGCGAAAACCGCGCGACATGAGGACGAATCTTTGTGGATCTTAAAGTCCAATATACACTTGACCGTTACCTATCCTTCTGTGCTCTGCCTAATAGTCGCTGCTGTAATTAGAACTGCTGCGTCTCGAGCACAACGATTATTGTAATCCAATGACAAGATCTTGTATGATTTACGAAATTGTATATTGTGTGATGGAGTCTTGGTCTTTCCAATCGGTATCTGGCCTTCTATGATTGCCTATCATGGACATAACCCAGGCTGTTTGGATTTACTGCAGCCGTCACGCCGTATATAGCGGATTAAATTATCCCATCTCCAGCTTTCCGAGGTACAGAGGGTGATATTCATGATCTGGATAGGTGTAGTAGTATCAGTTGATGATAACTTTAGAGTGGTGTTGTTTCTCAAAACAAGAGTACCGTCCCTATATATATGTAGTTAGTCTTTATTTTCCCTGTTATATTCCATAAAAGTCTTAGGAAGAAGACAGTTATAGCATGATTTTGATCCCATGTATGCTAATGCTAGTACATACCAAAGACTGCTAATATTCTTTATTGTGACCAAAACATTTCATTGTCCCATCATCATTTGAGATCCAATCATCTGTTCACTATTATCAATAGCCATACTAGTACTGGTGATTGATATAGAGACTTACTTGTCTCAATTGAATCATCATAGCGGTTTCCATAAATATCTTCACAAGTGGCATGGAGGATAGTTTGGTTCAATATATTCATGTCCTTACAGTAAGTGCTAACACCACTAGGGTTGGTATCACTGTAGATACATGTTAGCAAGAGAGATCAAGTTAAGAAATATAGTAAAAGAAGAAGCAGGTAACTGGGTGAAGAGGGAGTAAAGAGGTATAGAGATGTAATTATAGATAGTGAAGGAGAGACCTTACGTGAACCAGCCAATGATATTATTGCCTGGATAAGGGTTGGCAAAACATAATTCCATATTGATTCTGGAATTTATGTACTCTCCTCCATTAGCCTTTTTGCAAGTGGCCCAAATTTGCCAAGGGCGAGGAAGCTTAGGATTATGAATAGTCATAATACCCCTGCAAGAGTCTCTGTAGCCAGAGTCTGCAACAACATCAAGAGCAAAGTAGCTCAAAGCTGAAAAAGTAAGGATTAGCAAATTGATAAAGTGCATAGTGATTAGTGTGGGTTAAAGGAAACCAAAAAGTCTTATTATCAGTTAGTTAATACAGATGAAGTAGTTGAATATTATTTTGAAGGGGGGAACAC